TCACGTGCAATTTCAAACATCTTCATATCGATGCAAGATTTTATGACACGAACTATTTAAATGTTATGCAATATCAACTTTTCACTGGCATCAAGTCATGCATGTATCAGCTAAAAATCTGTTTAGCATATCTATTTCAGTCATTGGCGATTTGAGTGAAGGGGCATGTGAATGAGTTATCAAAAACAACACTGTTCATTAATTTCGCAACCATAGTGATAACTCAATATTATACATATTCGCTCACTCTGCCTATACTTAAGGTGAATACGTCCTATCTTGAAGGAATTAAGCTAATTAAGCGTTGCATTGGAAATAACACCTACCTAGAGAACATTGTAATCCTATAAAAGTGTATAGTTATAAAGCGGAAATCTCGTGATTCCCACTTGTTTACATTATCTTAATATATGAAGAATTGCTACATGAATATCGCATGCTATTGATATACTGACATAGACTACTGGCATTTGACTACAGCCAGTGAAAATTAGCCTTTTATATTTATAACCATGTAAAATCTACGGATATTCTTATGTTTTAGCAATCTTAAACAATCACACACTAAACTAACCTAGCTTAGAATAAGTTTCGCGCCTTTTTAACAAACGCGGACTGAGTGCGCATGTATAGTAATAACATTATTCAAAGGTGGCAATAAAGACAAATTGAATAAAAACAATTATAGAGACATCACGTTAACACCAGTTCTGCAAAAGCTATTCGAAAAAGTTATATATCAGAGGTTAACAGTTCGATGTGCTGAAATACAGTTTCCGCATAGACTACAACAGGGATTTAGAGCGGAATGTGGAAGTATTATGGCAGCGTTCACTGTCAAGGAATCGATATGTCATTATATCGAAAATAGGACAAAGGTATTTGCTGCCTTCTTGGACAATGCAAAAGCATTTAACAGTGTATGGATGGACGGGCTATTACATAAAGTGTACAGACTCGGTTTTAATGGTAAATTTTGGAGAATACTGCAAAATTCGTTTCAAAACCTGACCTCGCGTGTACTGTATGACGGCAAAATTAGCAAAGACTATCCAGTTAAGCAAGGGGTCGGTCAAGGGAGAACTTTATCAGCCTGGCTATTCCTCGTTATGATAAACGGTCTCGCACGTGCTCTGGATGAAGCGGAACAGGGTTTACAGATTCAAAAGCTACATATCCCCTGCGTATTATTAGCTGATGACACGCTTTTATTAGCTGAAAGCATCACGAATCTCCAAGCTCAACTAGATATCGTAAATGCGTATGCTAATCTTTGGAGGCTAAATTATAGCTCTGCTAAATCTTCGCTGATTGAATTTTCATATAAAAGACGAATCGTCAATAAACCATCAGCTGTATGTTCTCTGTGAGGCGCGATTATCGAATGGACTGTTACAAAGGTTTACGCGGGAATTACTTTTTGTTCAAACCTAAAAGCTGATGTCGGTATAGAAAGCGCGTGCGACAAAGGTAGAAGGAACCCTAACAATCTAATGAGTGTTGGTATCCATCAAGGCGGGATGAATCCTCTCAAAAGTGCGCAACTCATTAAAGCAATTATCATACCAGGTGTTCTATACGGATGTGAACTTTGGGCAAATGCTACGCAGAAGTCCATTGATATGTTAAATAGAACCATGCGGTATGCTGCACGAAGATGCCAGGGTTTTGAGAAAACTTCGTCGTCGGCCATAACTACCAGAACTATTGACTTACCGGATGATTTATGGTCTGATGTAGAAATCAGAAAACTGTACCTTTGGAACAAACTGCGTAATGCTAAATTATCTTTTGTCTGGAAATCTCTATTTATTATTCGCTTATGTACATTCATGTTCACCTCAAAATCGTTTCAAAACGTAAGCTTCATCGTAGACATCTTCCATACAATGGTGAAATTTAACATCGAGACATTCTTTTTCGAGTTTGTGTTCTCTGGTGCGTGCTGTAGAGAGTTTCAGTGGAAATCGTTTATTAAGAAAGTCACAACAAACTATTACTATGATGTATGGTGTAAAATGTGCAAAAATCGTCCAGATCTGTTATATTATAGGGCAGTTCATCAATATATTGGACCCAATCCCTTATGGTCTCTAACCTTGAAATTTCCTAAAAGCTCATGGGAAATTTGTGAATTAATCAAGCTTTCCTACAGGGCTGAATTCCAAAATGTGATGCGTAAATTGTGCAAAACAGTTGTGAACAATGACGTTAAACATTTCATTATACAATGTCCCACATTATTCAAAAGTAAAGACATCTTGCTGGAACAAATAGTTAATCTTATAAGCGTTGAAAAATATGTACAATACGATATGCTTGAGGAAGACGAAAAATGTTCATTTATTCTTGGTGGAAGGAACGATATTTCTTTGGACGATGGAGAATGGGACAATCTGATGGTTGCTATAAGTGACAAACTTGCTGGGATGTTCACAGAAATGACCATACTTCTCCAGAGCAGCTCTAGCTCTTCAGTATTGTTTGAAGACTACAGTAAGAAACCGTAGTATTATGTAAATATGTAGTGTGCATGCTGTAAATTTTGAAATTAATAAAAACGACAAGACCATGTAATCTCTTATCGGAGGAAATAAAGAATGTCTGTCTGTCTGTCAATTCCGAATTATGACGTCATCCCATTGTTATATATGAGACTATGGGGGTGTATAGATGTCTCTGTAATTAGTGTTCCCTCGGCGTGGGATCCCTGAGTACTATCAGACCTGGCGTGTTATATTAAGGTAAAGATCCCGTATATAACTGACAATCAACCGCAAGGTTTATGGGAATGGCTTACGACCTAACTACTTATCTCTGTGAATCGACCTGGCATTGATTGACGAGAAAACGAAATGATTGATGAGTCCTTTATCGGGCTTATTGCTGTATTATTTCCCAAACAGTCTTAAAGCAACGATTACTTGATATTTGTTCGTGACTAATTCGTGTTGCTGACAAAATTAGATTTTGAAGAGCTATTATAGAACCCCAGTAAAATTAAATGTAGTTTCTGATTTGTGAAACGGTAATTACAAACAGCTGAGAGCAACAAGAGAAATCGCCTGTTCATCATACTATAATTACATACAATATCATCATACTATAATTACATACAATATCATCATACTATATCATCATACTATAATTACATACAATATCATCATATTATAATTACCTACAACAGGACCCTGGACTCTCAGTCTCTTACTTTTGTAAGACATTTACTTTGGCTATATTAAAATATATATTTAAATGAGGACGTGCAAAGGGTACACGTTATAACGTTAATTGTGCACGGTATTCACCAATAAATAACACAGATAAATGGGGGTTTTTTTCAGGTTATAGGAATCACATTTAATTGACAGCATGACAACTACTAAACATGGTTTTTCTTTCAGAATTTTTACGACTATAATGTTTTGACTACAATCCATACATTCCAAATAAGTTGCTGTACTGGGTTTTTCTTTATTTATTCTGGGTATTAAGCAAAATTTCGTGATAAAATATTATTATTTCGTACCTTAATTAAACTGTTTATTAGCCTACTAGTATCTGCTATTGACTTATTTGTATAGACATTTCTTATCCTCCCTGGTGAGATCTTACTAAGTTTTTAACTACTAGTTCGTTTTTGTGTGTGATTATTCCTTGCATCCACCTGTTGTTTGTTAAAACACAAGCTCCGGATAGCTTAGTTATTTCGTGAAATGAATTTGACGTGAATGGTTGAACGAATGAATTAATGAAGTTGCATACATACGTGTATGCTAACATAAGTAATGATGGAACGGTCTAATTCTGATTGGGACAATAAAAGAAATCCCACAAACTGTCACCATGGTTGCAATCATGCATCAGAATTATAGATTGCAATGCCAAAAAGCACCTGCATACTTAATTTGATCAAAATAGGACGATACCTAAAGTTCAACCAATCAAATGCCAGGAAATCGCAGCCATATTGTCTAAACGGTTAATGCAAGACATTGACAAACGAGCAAAACATCCTTTGGAGGTTATTACTCCGTTGTTTGGTACCTTATTGCTCCTATCTTATCAAAACATCAAGCAGATCATACACATTTTTAAAATGGTTTGTCGGATATAGTAGAGCTTTAGAGAAGATAAAAGAGTGTATAAAATTAGAAATGTCGTCGTTGCACCGTAGGTTGGCCATAGCCGCCGTCATATTACGGCAACTATGAGATCTGCCGCAGTAAATGGAAGAAGAAGATATCTGTTACAGGAAATTCACTTATAAAGGTGAAATTGAACGCTACTAAACGCTGATTGTCGCCCGATTCTGAGTCTGTTACTCTGACTTTGTATATTGAGGCCAAACATGTTATTCAGTGTGTTTGACGTCAAATTATTAATACCCTAGACCGTCAATATTACTTCAACGAGTTACGTTTGACCACAGCTTTGGTGTTTTTTCTTTGGTTTTACTTCAATTTGCGGAATGTGTTCTGACTACGAATGAGCGAAATTAATATAAGAATAAGATCGGAGTTCTGATAAGAGATCGGAAGTGTGTATGTAAATTATTTCCTTTGATGTTTCTAAAGTATTCAACCTTGCCGTTTAAGTTCAGAACCAGTAAAATACGATGTGTTTCGTGTCATCTGATTGACGTTTTCATTGAGTAGCGTACTAAACAGCTGTGACTAAGTATGCCATATTGTTCTATAAAACTGCACATAACAAATGAAACTTTCGTCGATCTCTATCGAATGCGCCTCTTAAGTTCATTGGGAAAAAAAGTTTAAGTTAAAATACATCAAGGAAAACATTTACCATTTGAAAACACTTTTCATTTTACTTACAGCAATTTGTTTGCATTACATTTTTTTCATGCAGATCCGATGAGATAAGTAATATTTCCAGATGTATACCATACTCTCCCTGTCGCTATAGTATTACTGATGGAATCCTAATGAAATGAAAACAACGAAATAATTCTAACTTGAGAAAAGAAATTCAATAGTTACCTTCTACTGAGAGACACGCTGACGTTGGCCATCTACATGATTTGATTTTCATGTCGAACTCTAGGGATGCTGGACACCTCTGGAGAAATATTTCCTGACTTCCTGGCGAAGATTTACATTGAATGTAGGCCTGGCAGTCCCACGGTACCTTGACGTACTCTTCGTTTTTCCTACATAATCCCCTGAATGTTTCGTCATAACGACCTTTTGGTAGAATCAGTTGTCCCCAGCACGCACTTACGAAAATACTTAATAGCACTGGTATATATCCATGGTAATGGGCCATTCTGAAAAGGAATGAAGTATTAAAAAAGATATTAAAGTGAGTAAAACTAATTCAACACTTAATGTAAGTCGTTCTATAAGGGTGCGTTAAGGTTTGCTTATTTCCGTGATTGATGCTTCATGTACCAGAAAACAATCAGACAATTAGAAGACATACTTAGGTAAAACATGGTCTGCTTTGTCTGTGACGAAGCATTACAAGTAGAAAAACAAATAAAAAACCTTACTGAAAAGGAATTAAATCAATAATGGATATAAATATTCTCGAGAAAATTGCAACGTTCTTAGCAGTAAAGTTGGTCTTCATTGAAAATGAACAAGTTTCTGTTTTGAAATCAAGACAAGGGTTAGCAAAAATATTGTGACATCAGTTGGAGTATTAACAACGTCTTGCTGAAATGAAAGAAGGTGCTGTTTTGTAAACACAGGCAAGGTTCGTTATTTGTTAAACAATGTATACCACATGGCTAAGTAAGAATGTCATGTTATTATATGACCTATGTGCTATGTGATCTTTTACAATAATATGTTATATTACCGTTTATAATGCCCCGTTATATTTTACAATTTATTGTTAAATGACATTTTAAAATGCCATATTATATTTTACAATATATTGCTATATGACGTTTTGATATTCCATGTCGTATTTTACAGTATGTTGTTCAAGTAAAATATATCCTCTGGCTAACTATCAGGCTGAACTATTGGTGTCGATAACATTACAACACTGTCCATTTGAATTCAAATAAAGCATTTGTAATATGACAACTTGTCAATACAACAATTACTTATCAGTGAAAGTTGTTGCCAACACGATATGTTACATAAACAGAGACTGAGGTCTAGTCTCGATCTCGTTACGAGCATCTAAAGGACTTACTCAAGTTTTATTGGTTTTCACTTACATGGAAAACATATAGAAACAGTACAAAATTTAAAGGTTCGATTTTTCTTAAATACAGCAAAAGGTTGGTTTAGTATATTTGTTTATTAAAAATGCTGAGATAATATTCAAAAATGTAACTTAACTGACAACGTATATCTTGTCTAATATAATATGATAATAAATGAACATTGTATTTTAGGAAAAAATAACCTTCGGAGATAACGACTTCTTTATCTATAATTTTAATCCATTGTACGTCATTAACAATCTATATCGAAATTGTGACGTTATTCTTGATCAAAAACAAAGGAAAAATATGAAAACCATAATGGTCGTTTAAATAAGATAAAACCTTATATAACAATACTACGCATAATTAAAAATATACTTATATCATTATACTATTGATATATCAAAAATACATATATTTCAAATTAACACATTTATAAATTATATATATAAATCATAGCGTCAGGACACAATGACGAAATCAATACGAAAAAATAAGAACTAAGTTGAAACTCTGTACAAACAAAAGGAGAATCAACGAGAACCGCAATGAACAGCCGAATGTGAGCCAATATATTCCTGATAGGTTAAGCATTTCCGTTACCACATGTGGTTCCCGTCATGATGTCACCATACGTCAAAGTTATATACAAAGTGTTTGTCACAGTGCTCAAACAATCGGCGAATCTAAAATTTGCATTAAAAAATCATTGCAAACATGATTTTTGCAAAAGATTTGATGATTGCTGATGTTACCCTTTGTATCTTTGTCGAATAATCTTGTTACAGCTGTCAGAGAATTTCTGTCACAATGTTGTGTTGTAATGAAATACATATATATATACATATCTCATTATCAAATCACCTTACTGACATTGGATTAACTAAGGGCATAACATACATGCATAGGACAAAAGCGGGATGGTCAAAATTATGTTTTTTGTTGTGGCTATTGTTTCGTGATGACGTGCATGACGACGTCAGCAAAACAAATTAAGGGAATACATTTCTATATAATTGATTGATACTATGTAGCTCGCACAATGGTAAGACACTAACTTTTCTTTTGTTTGGATACGTATCGTACCGACAGCGAGTCATCAGATGATTAATGTATACTGCTTATAGCTTTTGAAGAAATATTCATTTATCATAAAGCTTTGTGGTAGAATTAGCATTGATAGCCCTGTCTTTATCACATGATAGTATATTGACGAGAAATTAATTTAAACATATGAAAAATTAAATGAAAATCTTTGCTATCTACATGATAATTTAACCATTTTCAACTCATCATGTCAACCGTTCGTGGTAACTGGCTCCACCCTTATTTCCATGGTATAATAAACACCATTTGTCCCTTGTAGGGAGTGTAAACGTTGTGTAATAGCATGTATAATATGACATTGTATCAATCAAAATTGTCCTAATCTGTCAAATAAACACAGAAGTTTTCGAAACATTGCATGAAGGTGTTATGTCACGGAAATGATCATTAATCTTAGATGAAATATTTGAATGTAATTTGAAAAATGCATGCATGTGAAGTGAAGGCATTTTATGTAAATTTGTAAAACAAATTATTGTTTAAATGGAAATTCATGCTTTAAAGACTTTGATGGACAAGTAAGTATTTAGTACAAGTAAACCTGCATCTATTATTTTTTAATAACAAGGAAATATTCATTGATCGATGCACAAAACTTATGCAAATTTATATTGACGATATATGTATATGTATGTATATGTATGTATATATTGATTAATTGCACTGTGTTCCTATGCCTCGACCAATCCACCTCTACCCACCAGATACTAGCACTTTGGTACTATGATACAATGATATTTTTTCATGAATTTGTCTCACCAAAGAAAGCCCATACCAGAAAATATAAAAAATATTAAATTATTATGCTTAATACCATGTAAAAAGTGTATATCACCATATTTGTTATCACATATGGTCATTATTTGTGAATGTGTCGTATTGATGATCACATATAGACACGCCACGTAAACCTACTCTATATGATCACATGTATACACGACACGTAAATCTACTCTATGGTCACATATAGACACACCACGTAAACCTACTCTATATGATCACATGTATACACGACACGTAAATCTACTCTATGATCAAATATAGACACACCACGTAAATCTACTCTATGATCACATATAAACTCACCACGTTAACCTACTCCATATGATCACATATAGACACACCACGTTAACCTACTCTATATGATCACATGTATACACGACACGTAAGTCTACTATATGAACAAATAAAGACACGACACGTAACTCTACTCTATGAACACATATAGACAAACCATGCAAACCTACTCTATATGATCACATAAAGACACGACACGTAAATCTCCTCTATGATCAAATATAGACACACCACGTAAATCTACTCTATGATCACAAATAGACACACCACGTAAACCTACTCTATATGATCACATGTATGCACAACACGTAAATCTACTCTATGATCAAATATCGACACACCACGTAAACCTACTCTATATGATCACATGTATGCACAACACGTAAATCTACTCTATGATCAAATATAGACACGCCACGTTAACCTTCTCTATATGATCACATATAGACACGCCACGAAAACCTACTCTATATGATCACATGTATGCACAACACGTAAATCTACTCTATGATCAAATATCGACACACCACGTAAACCTACTCTATATGATCTCATGTATACGCACCACGTAAATCTACTCTATGATCACATATAGACACGCCACGTAAACCTACTCTATATGATCACATGTATACGCACCACGTAAATCTACTTTATGATCACATATAGACACACCACGTTAACCTACTCTATATGATCACATATAGACACGCCACGTAAACCTACTCTATATGATCACATGTATACACGACACGTAAACCTACTCTATGATCACATATAGACACGACACGTAAATCTACTCTATGAACACATAAAGACACGACACGTAACTCTACTCTATGAACACATAAAGACAAACCATGCAAACCTACTCTATATGATCACATAAAGACACGACACGTAAATCTACTCTATGATCACATATAGACACACCACGTTAACCTACTCTATATGATCACATATAGACACGCCACGTAAACCTATTCTATATGATCACAAGTATACACGACACGTAAATCTACTCTATGATCACATAAAGACAAACCATGCAAACCTACTCTATATTATCACATATAGACACGCCACGTAAACCTACTCTATATGATCACATGTATACACGACACGTAAACCTACTCTAGGATCACATATAGACACGACACGTAAATCTACTCTATGAACACATAAAGACAAACCATGCAAACCTACTCTATATTATCACATATAGACACGCCACGTAAACCTACTCTATGATCACATATAGACACGACACGTAAATCTACTCTATGATCACATATAGACACGCCACGTAAACCTACTCTATGATCACATATAGACACGACACGTAAACCTACTTTATATGATCGCATATAGACACGACACGCAAACCCACTCTATGCTCAAATATAGACACGCCACGTAAATCTACTCTATGATCACATATAGACACGACAAGCAAACCTACTCTATGAACACATATAGACAAGCCACGTAAACCTACTCTATGATCACATATAGACACGCCACGTAAATCTACTCTATGATCAAATATAGACACACCACGTAAATCTATTCTATGAACACATATAGACACACCACGTAAACCTACTCTATATGATCACATATATACACGCCACTTAAATCTATTCTATATGATCACATATAGACACACCACTTAAATCTACTCTATATGATTACATATAGACACGACACGCAAACCTACTCTATGCTCAAATATAGACACGCCACGTAAATCTACTCTATGATCACATATAGACACGACACGCAAACCTACTCTATAGACACATATAGCATTTAAAAGTAATGTAAACACTTTAGCGGAATGGCTAAAGTGACATACTATGTACTTTCCAAACCTGTGATACTATTATCTTACCTGTGATATGCTACTAGCTTAACCT